TAGCTAGCAAGTGGTTATCTAAATGAACATGCAGTTTTTTGTGTTGATTTGGTTGAGCACTTTGGTTTATATCTTTGGGGATTGTTGTTTAAAATCCAGAACTAGTCATACTGGTTTGACTCGAGACAACATCTTTGCTTACGGTAACTAATCTGCCTCCACAGTGGTAGTATCGGCATCTGTAGGTAAGAGGATATATCGATTCTAGGAGAAAAATACACTTAAGGAGAAAATGTTGTAAGGTCAACTCAAAAGTTGAGTTCAACTTATTGACTTAGATGACTTCTCGGGTTTATTGTTGCCCCAAGTCACAGGGAGTTTGGGATGTTAAAATAAGGAATTCAGGACATTATGTGACTCACGGTTAAAACTGCAAGGACTATATATTTGTGAGAAATGATTTTTTGAATCGAATAGCCCCATTAAAGTATATACGACACGTGTTAAATGAACTCATCTCTCTTGAATCAGTTGATGTTTGAAATTTCTCGGCACTTTGTAGTGATAAAATGGAATGGTTTGATTTAGATGTTTGCTCTTCTTTCGGTCTGGAGTTTGTAATATAACTTTTCGATAGACTTACCTCCACGCGGTGCATATTGGAAAACGCATACTCATACAGCAAAAAGTCTATAAGCTGGCAGTTGACTATAGACTTGAAACTATCATGACCCGACTGTATGTCATATTTGACAGCCTCCCGGTATTTGGTATGCGATAGAGCCCACTGATTGGGCTCATTAAATTTAATTAGTGTGTTGTCAATGCACCAATGTTAACACTGATCTAATTGGTGGGGATTTAGCTTAAATGTTTAGTGCCATATTGATCTTTAGGTTCCCTGAATCAACAATTTGATTGATTTTTTTCTCCATAGCATTTATTGGCTACAAATCAAAAGTTCTTAACTTATGAACCAATAATTCTAATTTCTCTTTATTTATTAATAACTCCTTTTAGTTATCGAGCCTTTTTTCAACTTACCATTCATATTTTGATGCGAATTTTAGCTTTCAGTTGCTAATTTCTAGACATATTGCTTCTCGTACTCAGGGAAGAAGTAGAGACAGTATATTATTTTGTCCTTAATTGGTAATAATTATGATCATATATGGAAAATGAAGTGGAGATGATTGAATGGCTAGGTAATAATTGAATCAAAACATCCGATGATCTCACATATCCACGTGTGAGTTTGGAGCCACAATAATCGTGGTTTCAGTGCAGCACGAGGGGTAAAGCTTATGGGCTTCAAAAGCATGCACCGAAAATATTCAATACCGGTGTCTTAGCATCACGTCTATGCTTGGTTCTTTCCCATCTCCTTCCGTGGTTAACGCAAAAATTACATGAAGTTATAGCTTTATGAGGCTTTTTCCTTAGTTTAGTGGTTCCTATAGCTCTTGCCCTATCAAAATGCTGATATTTTTATTTAAACACGGATGGACAAAACATCGTTTTATTGTCATGCATTTATATTACAAATCTGAAATGAGTTTTAGATTGGTCTCGATTACGATGCATGTCCCTATTTTATAACATTGTGTCACGAATTTCTGAATAAAGGTATTCGCTTTTACATTGAGCTACTTCACCTTGTTTTTTGGAGCAATTTTCCGTTAACATTGCACTTTGGGAAATTTCTTGTACTAGATGAGTGATTGACGGGTTATTTTGAATTTCCAACTCTCATTCACCTTCCACATTTCAGATCCCTTTTACTGGGCATGGTTGCCAATGGCCAAGATTCCTTTCTCGGAAAGCATTTGCGAGCACGTTCTTCCCAGAATCTCTGATGCCCACTTGGTCAATGAGCTTGTTCGTGACTTGTACAAACTTTTTAAGGTACTTTTTTTCCCACCCCCCACCCCCACCCCCCTCCTTGGCATCCTATTCTTAAATCAATAGCATTGCTATCAACATATTTTTCATATTTAGACCGATCCAGGGTTCGATCGAAGGACATTCGAAAAACAAATGGCTGTTATGCGTGGCCAGGTGGGTATCATGTCTCGAAAATACTGAGCTACCTATGTAGGTTAGTATTATATAACATGTAATTGTTGCATTTCCTATTTTAGATGCTAAATCTCCAGCGCGCACTTCGTGAGCGTAAGACGCCTCTTGAGCTTGTTCAGACCCCGGTAGTTGCCGTTGAGCGCGAGAAGCGATCGATAACCCAGCGTATTCGCGAAGTGGCCCGTGACCTCCTTCCTCCCAATGCACGCGTTGGTCGTCTGGTGTCCTCAGGGTCTGAGCCTGAAGATGGCGACGATTTAGCAAGTCCTTTGGGTGGTGAAGACGAATTTGATGGACCTGCGTCTCTTGGAGGCCATTTCACTGCCAGATACCCTCGACGACCCTTCTTCACACGATTCTAACTACTCCCTTTAGTATCCACCTCATCTTTGTATACTTTATCTCCCCGTATATCTCTGTCTTTCAGATCTCGTCATTTGTGTATGTGTTCGAAATTCTCCCCTTTCTCTTCTCATTTAGATAAGCTCGTCCATATATGTGCTTTAAAAACCGTGTCTCTTACTCTCCCCTCCTCCTCATCCAGGTATCTGTCATACTTTTGTCGATGAATAAACTGTGACAAGTGCTGAAGGTCGCTGTGTGATTTTACCCTCAGCTCTTTATTTGATTATGACTAAATTCTCTTCCTTTTTTGCAGTTTTTTTTAACTTTATATAGGGGATGAATTTCTCTTTAGGATGAAAAGCCGTGGCGGTGGTGGAGGGGGGATAGAAGTTTCCATCGTATAGGGTTTGTGGCCTACATGCTTGCTCTTACCGATTGCCTTGGCAAATCCTATGACATTTTGGGATCTGAGCTGCTCTTCGTTTCAACGAAATGGCGTGTAAAGGTATAGGGTATGCATAGTACATGGATTGATCGAGGGGGGGAGGTAATCCTTTGATCAGACTAAAGCAGGTTGTAGGCAAGGCAAAGTGTGCACCATGATTTTTATGGACGGTGTTCCGCTTAGGGCAGTGCAGAACCGTTCCAAACACTTATTTCAGGATTAGTATGCTATTGAAGTTTGCCAACATAGTTGAAAACTCCAATTCTTAGGGGACATAATTTCGCTATTGTAAGTAAAGATGAAATATTTCAGTTTAACTAGGAAAGATTGAACCGAAACAAAAGGTGAAAATATCATTAATGCAAGTAAATCATAAGCAAACCAAATTAATAATTTTATAAGTTGTAACGCTTTACTACGTATTGAATGTGAAGAAAATTTGCATGACACGGAGGCGTAGATCTATGTGAACGAAAGTTAGAAAGTACTTCAGACTCCAAGACTGTGGGACTAGACTAGGAAGTCCATTGTAGATTTGGCCGAAAGTAGTAAAAATAAAAGTAATCGGAGAATAGACAGGGAGATTTTAGATAATTTTCGAAAGAGTAATAATATATTAGTTGGAAGTAATTACATTAAAGGAGAACTAATTCCGGCATTGGGGTTACTCTAGAAGAAGTTAACTTCTGTCCATTCAGAACGGGAAAACTTTGCATAGCTTCAGCACAAACATCCCACACATGGGCATTACGATTGTACACATAGTTACTACACCCCTGCCAATAACTGTGTGAGAAGTCGACGATTAAGCTCTATTCACTTCCAGTGAAGAAACATTTTATCCACTAATTGTGATGGTTTTCCCAACCATCACTGAAATATTCTAACATAAACAACTTATTTTATTTCTTCTTATGCTCCTGGTTAACATGCAGTAACAGCTAGAAAGCAAAGATTCCAGCAGGAACACCAAGACATTCGACAATTAAAGTAGAGTAAGAGGAAGTAAAGTTGGGCACGTTTCTATCTTTCTAAAGTTAGTGGAAAGTTAATAACGAAGGTATGAATTTTCTAGAAATTCGAACTGGTTTCAAAATTAAGACTAAATTCTAAAGTAGAGCTACAGAGATTATTAAATGATGTTAGTTTCAATGGAACTACAGATTATTTGTTCAAAAATATTTGATCAATTGTGTAAAGATTTTATTTGGATGCGGTTAAGTAAAACTCTGACTAGTAAGCTTAAACGCTAAAATAATGCCTTCGATATGAATATTGAAATATATTTTCTTGAGATTAATCTCCAAGAAAATAACAAACTTTGAAATTACAACAAACATTAATCTATTTGTATATAAAATCACAGCTAAATGTGCAATACAGGACATTTTTTTCGCTTGAATCAGGATTAAAGAGAAAGTCAATGCTCATCAATAAATACTTCTCATTTTATGTAGTAAAAAACACATATGTTTTATAAATGTAATATTTGATTATCTAAAGTCACCACAAAATCAAGATAAGTAATATTTTGAAATCATAAAATCAATTCTAAATAATCAGTTAAAATCAATATTATTCACAAAATTGAAGACAATGACAGAATTTTTGATTCCAAGGGATTCGTTTAGGTAATTATGCAAGATACTAAATACAAGTTGAAAATCTGATTTTAACCAATCTTCATTTGAACCGATTGCTTTGAATTTCCTTTCCTCATGCCTCCGAAAAAGAAGGGTGGAGATGGGCCTTCTAAGAAGGCCATTGAAAAGGAAAAGAAAAAAATCATAGAAGATAAAACTTTTGGATTAAAAAATAAGAAGGGTGCTAAACAGCAGAAATTTGTGCAGCAGGTGCAGAAGCAGGTCACTTATGGAAATAAATCTTTCCGAGATGTATGCCTTCGCTCATTTTTAATTGTGCCTTTTTAATTAGATCGAAAAAATCCAGCAAGAAAAAGATACAAAAAAGAAGAAGAGCGAAGATGATGAAATTAGTCAATTATTTAAACCTGTTGTAGAACTTCAGAAACTGTCCAAAGGTTCCTCCTATTTCTGGATTTTTATTTGTTTGCAGGCGCTGATCCAAAATCTGTTCTCTGCATATTTTTTAAACAGGGGACTTGTACCAAAGGTGATAAATGCAAGTTCTCGCACGATTTAAATATCGAGCGAAAGACTGAAAAAAGAAATCTTTATGAAAATGAGATAAATGAAATGGATGAATGGAATCAAGAAGAACTTGAAGATGTTATTACTAAGAAGCATGGTGAAAAAAATAAGGGTCTTCCCCCAACCACTATTATTTGCAAATACTTCCTTGATGCCGTCGAAGTGGGCAAATATGGATGGTTTTGGAATTGTCCAAATGGTGATAATTGCCACTACAAACATGCCCTTCCGCCGGGTTTTGTCCTCAAAAAGGATAAAAAGAAGATGGAAGAGCAAAAAGAAGATGCTATAACTCTGGATGAACTTATTGAAACAGAAGTAATACCTCAGATTTAATTGTTTCTTATTTTTTTAATCAGCTCTCAATAATTCTTTTTCTATAGCGCCGTGCACTTGGAATGAATCAGACCAAAGTCACACTTGAAACTTTCTTAGCTTGGAAGAAGCGAAAGGTGAGCTTGCCTAGCAAATCTTGTCATGATTTTTTTCATTTTCTCTATCCACATTTACCTTAACTCTAGCGAGCCGAAAAGATTGCCGCCGGCGAGCTCGAAAAGAAAAAGAAACAATCCAACTTTGCTCATGGACGTCTTATTGGTGTACGTTTTTCTCTAACACCCTCCCATCTATTTTGGTGCTTTTCTGGTATGATAAATTGTCTGTTTACAGATCTCTGGTCGTGAAATGTTCGAATTCAATCCTGACTTTGTTGATGAGGGCGAGGAAATCGACGGTGATGTTGCTGATTCTCGTCTTCGGGAGGAAGATGAAAATGAGGTTGATCTCCTTTTGTTTTTATTACTATGTATTTATTATAAATATAGTTTTGATACTTTGTTTTTTTTTATACTAGGAGGAGTTTGAAGTTCATGACATTGATATCAATGCTTTCGCTGTTGATATCGCTGATGATATTGGTGAGTTTTTTCTTCTTACTTTCTTCCTTTATTGGTGTTTAGTTTTTTATGCGTACAACGTTTGTTCGAGCTCCTTTTTTTAATTACGTTTTTAAATAGCGTTTGACGAATCTGATTCATGTGCCTATTGTGCGTGCGTCATTCGTACTTTGCAATATATTCTTGTTTTGATTTATCTTGCAGTCGACTGTATAGTAATTTCATTTTCAATTATTGAGTCAATCTTTGCTTACATGTGTTGACTTAACGACGATCATTCCAAAAGATTAATCGTGATTGACTGAAAATCGTCTTGTCAAAATATCGGTGCCTATCCCTTGATCTGCATGTCATATTTTCCTTTCTTAAATTGGCTATTGAAAGATGTCTTAGTTTCTAATGTTTAATCTTTTCGTGATATTCTATGGATTATAATTTAATCCATTCCTAATTTAACTTAAATAGCTTACCTTTGCTGTCACCAATGCAAAGCCATATTTTATTTCGGTGTAGACTGCCCGTTTGCCATTAACGTAACTGCAATGAGAGGGAAATAAGGTTAAACAGATAAATCAGAACCAAGATATATACTTTTGCTTGTCGCTTTTTCAATTTCATCAAAGAGTTGATCACTTTGAGTGGCTCTCCGCATGCCCTATCGTAATTGAAGTACTATATGTCGATTGATCATTTGAAGGTATGCTTGCAGAATTCATACTCGCTAATGCAAGGTCACCGCTTTTAATTACCTTCAAATATTGATTCTTTGAATTAAGTTTAGTCGTCTAATGTATTTTAGTTTCCTACGATGATGAAATCGCGACCGGTAAACAACTCTCTCCCCACAAAAAGGGTTCGTTTACACTATTAAAGTTTTATATATAGGTAAAATCCTACTTACAACTAGCCGCCTTTATTCTATCATTCAGAAAATCTTGTCATTGACGAGGAGCTTTTTAATGATGCCGACTTGGAGGAACTTGATGAAAACCTAGAGGACCTGCAGTTAGATGAATGAAGTGACCGGTCTTACCTCCTTATAAAATATTATTGCCTGCTATGCTCTCTTATTCTCTATGATAAGAGCCATCTGTTTGTATAAAGCGCATTTCCCTTTTATTCTACTCAGGGGAGGGGGGATAGGTCCTTTTGTTTATTTAACATGGAGGCTGGAAGCAGGCCTCGAATGCTTTCTATCAGGTATAGCCATTCGCAGCATCAATTCAAATCTCGCTACATATTAAATGAATAAGTTGGCTCTAAGCCCATCAATAGGGTAGAAGTTGTGGAAGCACTCGTTTGTTTATTAATGGGAGACTGATGATATTGTTGATTATTGAAAAAATCAAATAATTTATTATCAAACATTCCATGGAAAATAGATTGGAGGCAGTGTATAATGCTGGTAAACTCTGCTACAAGTGGCCAAATTTTCCGTCCATCAACTCAAATATGCAATGTTTTGCAAATCAGATAAGAACTAACGGAATTAATTAGCTGACTATTCCAAGTTGTGCAAGGCAGTGGTCATTACTCCCCCCAGTTCTTGCATGAGGATATCTGTTTCTTGATGTGGGAACGCGATCGAGATACGTCTTATAGGGGAGGATTTAAATGGGATGTCACAGACAAAATGTGAACTAATTGCCAACCAAGTCATTGATCTCTTCCATTTACTATACTCCGCTACCTTAAGTAAGAAGACCGAATGTTTACTTTGGCGACAGCTAGGGGGTTGTAGTATTGTGGTATTTTAATTCGGCGAGTGACAGAGTAGAAGAGTGAGACTCGATTTCAAGAGATTCAAATATGAGGGAAAATCGATGAACAGCTCACAGGTCAATGTATTGAAAAAGAGGTCAAGTAGTTAAACCAAGCAAGATATTAGACTGAAGTAGGAAGAGAATAATATCACTATAAACCCCTTTTTTGTCAATGTCATGTCATACAGGTATTTCTAGTAGCATGAAATTCACGGAAGTGGAGCAGTCAAATAGCACTAAAGCGCGTGGCATAGAGGATGGGCGTTCGGATGGAGACAGAAGCTTCAGCTTGAAGCCACTACATTCATCTCATTTCGCCAATTGAGCCAAGAGTTGCTTTGCAATAGCTCTTCATTAAACACTTTTGCTGACTTGGTAAGCAGATATGCTGAAATGAAATATAACAATTCCGAGTTGACTTGGAGAAGGATTCTGATTAATCAACCTTATACTTGTTTAAAGCAACTGTGTCTTCGTTTAAATACTCCTCTTCGCCCATATGTGTTGTTGTTCAGACCTAAATTGAGACATCACAATCCGACAGCAATGCACAGATGCGAGTTCTTTTCGTTCGCCTTCATCAGTGCTACCTCCCACGCATAACTCCATTCTAAAGCTCTTTTCGAAAGGAACGCAGGACAAATTGGTACCCTTCAGGGGTGTGCGATAGACTTACCTCCACTTGGTGCACCCTGGTAGAAAGTCTATTAACCGGCAGTTGACTTCTCACTTTAAACTACCATCAACCCACTCTATGTCATTTTCGAATTCTTCCACAGTACCCTTGAAACACTCTTCTGTTCCCCCCCCCCTATCGGCTTTTTTTATTTTGATGCTCCTTCCCCTCCCACGCATAACTCCATCCGAAAGGAACGCAGCACAAATTGGTACTCCCAACCCATTTGAATGATAATTCGTGTAAACTGCATTAGGGTGAAATTAAAATGACTAACTTTATCCCCGTGAGGCCAACCCACCGATATTTCAGATGGCGGGATGTGCGATAGACTTACCTCCACGTGGTGCACTCTGGGCAACGTATACTCTTACGGCAAAAAAGTCGATAAAACCGGCAGTTGACTTCTGTGTTCAAGCTATCATGACCCCTCTGTATGTCATATTCGACCACTGCCACAGTACGCACCTCACCTTTCATCTACCTTTGTGTCTGCCTCTTTTACATCTTTGAAACACTCTTCTATTCACCCCCCCCCTCTCGACTCTTTTTGATTTGATGTTCCTCTCCCTCTGTGAAGCCTGAAGTCAACTAAAGGGCTAACGATTACTATCACAAAGCAATAGAGAGCATTTTATGCAAGTAAATAACCATAGCTAATTTGCTTTATACACAACTAGAATTTAGATGCTTAAATATCATGATTTTCGAGGAGTAAGTTGAGGGAAAAAAGCTCATTCGATTCCCTTTAAACTATAGGCCGTAATTTCGTCCAGATAATCGATAAAAAGAACACGACTAACTCCTATTCACAAACCTAAGTAGTAGAAAGTGATTTGAAAAGGGAGAGAGGTCATTTATGTTTTCAATTTCTGTTTTACAAAGAAGGGAATGGGAAGAGAATGTTAATTAGGAAATGAGGAGTTCGAGGACATTACAACAGTTCAAATTTACTTCTTTAGAGCGAGGGATCAGAGAGGATTAGACGAAGGTATAACAATACCTGTAGTGAAATTTAATAAAGACAAACATACGCGGAGATGGGGTAAAGCATTGCTCCACTGATGAATGTTTTAATCTCCAGGTTCGGGAAGTGTTCCGTAGGTCGATTTCACGATTGCCTCCTGTTGAAAATGAACAAAACACGAAACATTAAACAAATATTAACACCTACCGTTGCCTTCGGACAAAAAGCCCACAATCGAAAGTCAACGTTTAAGCAAAAGCAAGGTACACTTAGGTAGAATTCACGATTCCGTTTAATGATATTATAATGGCAATAGAAAAGTAAATTAAAACAGCACGAATGAGGATTATTTTAAGCCGAAGATTTGATGCTAATAGACCAAAGCTAACAACTAATCAAGTTTCCATTTAATGGGGCTAAAGGCAAATAACTCCACATATTACAAAGCGGAATGAGTAAAAATTAAACTCAGGCTAAAAGGGGGAGGAGGTCACGAGAAATAGCGAAATAGCAAAGAAGCCAGTAAGAATATCTGAACATAAGGAATTTTTTTTTAATTTCAATGATGTAAGAAATTGAAATTAACAAGTATGGAAAATGAGGAAAGGGAAACAAGAGCAATACGGAAGTGAAAGTAACAACGCCAAATAAAGGGATAAATAAAGAAACCTACTAAATAAGAGAAACATGGCCATTTGTAGTCTGATAATTTGACGTTTTGTCCACAGCAAATGCTGCAGAGGTGGGTGGGAATGAAGACCCGCGAAATGCGGCTACCGAAAACGAATCAGGCCACAACAAACGTGGAAAGGAAAACGCCTGCAAAAGGTACAATTAGGACATTGGTACGATCTACGAATTGAGCTTGGCTATAAGATTAAGCTTATCCTTCAACATTTGAATTATAACCTTCGAATGTCCCAAATATATGACGAACGAAAAATGGATCTTAAAAGTGTAAATATCGTTCAAGTGACAATAGCAAATAGTGCAAAATCAATATGATACACAAAATCAGTACAAATTTAGTGTGTATCAAGAAGACAACCGTTCACATGACATTATTATAATGAGAGAAGTAAAGTCCAAAATGAATAAATGAATCTTTATATCATAAAAAGTAAACTAATCAAACCAAGCCCTAAATCACATATAACTTAAAAATAACTAATAAATTTTGCTAAAAAGGGAAAAGATATCCAAAAAGTGTATTGAATAAGAGTTTGATCAGCCACCACTGATGGTTATATAAATAAAAGAATCTATTCTTACACCTAATAAACAAGTATTGTCGGTATGAGTTAAAATTAAAATAATCAAAAAGAGACTAAAATAAAACTAGAAGGTATAGGAAACATGAAAAACTTATTTACAAAACATGACCAAGTTGATAATACAAGAAATATTATTAAAAACAACGAGCAAAAAAAGTAGGCCCAAACAAACCTTAAAGGAATCGAAAGCAGATCCCATTGTCTCAGATATGTTTTTGAATGTTTCTGTGTTTCTAAGGAGAAATATGTAAAAAAATAAGACATACTTAAGGGTCTCAATAGATGTTGCAAGTTTTACTTTCACATCTTCTGCAACGTCAATAGTTTTGCTCCTGGCTTGTAACAAAGCCCGTTGGGTTTTTTGCATTCTATACAAAGTAAAAATGGGATAAAATGAACTGTCATTGGAATAAATAATGACAAATAAAACAAAAAACTCGCGTTTCGCTTTCCCCAATTTTAGTAAGCCCTTCTCGCACGTCGTACGAAATCGTGCTTATATCAGTATGACCAAGCTTCTTCTTTATTTCAACACATCGCTTAATTTTAATACTGAGAGCCTCTTTCAGGGTTTGAATATCTTCCTCAGTCTAAGCTTGGGTTTGAAATAACAAAAACCTTACAGCAGCAAGCTCTCGTTCAAGTTCAGCAAAATCAATAGCTTCCTCTTCTACAGAGGGGGGCTCTGCATTTACGACAGTATTCGCGTCTTCACCGACATCCATCATAACCGCATTCACGAAGAGTAATAATATGAGCTAACTGATAGTTAATTGGTCTACAGAAAAGTACGTTTTTTCATCATCGTCATTATAATTTTCAGCTAAAAGGTATTAGTTGAATATTCACTATTTAACATTATATAATAAAAGAGACCATCTATAATTCTAAATTTATAATTGTGAATGAGCTTAAAATGAAAAGATTAGAGTGCTGTCAAAAATAAAAATCATACACAATAAGAGACTGTAAAATTACTTCTTAATAATAATTTTTACTTGATTGAAAATAAAAATAGAGAAATTTAGTCATGTTGACCTTTAATATGACTTGGATACTTTAAAATGATAACTGTGAATTTTTATATTTCTTAATAAATAATGATGAATCTTAATTAATTTTGCTTAGTTTGAAGGTGCATTTTATAATTACAAAATATTACAAAACGATTTATTAAAATTTATCTAACTAAGGACAAAAAATAGGACTTTCTATAATAGTAAGGTTTTTTAACAATTTCTATTAGAAAATTATACAACGTTTTATCTGCTTCAAAATCTCAGCCTTGGTATTTCGGCGATCATTTGATCTCTAGTCTTGGTTGTCTTGTGTGCATTTTCTGATTCATTTATGATGCTGGGCGTATATAACATTCAATTGCAATACTTGCAATGCTGAAGGTCTTTATTTAATTTATCTGCTATGATTTTGTTGGACTTTCTTTTGATAATCTGGATGGTTTTGCTTGTGGGCGAATCATCCGAAATTGATGTACTTAACACTAGATTTCTTCCGAATGGTGCTGCTTTCTTTACTGATATCGGTTCCGCCAAGGAAAATTCAATTTATTTACAAGATTTTGCTCTAATTGGAAGTGTAGATGACGCTTTTCTTAATATTAACATTGGAAATTTAAGAGTTAATGCGTCTATTAATCCGGATTCTCATAGTTTTTCAAGCCAACCCCTTACGACTGTACACTTATTTCAGAAAGAATTATTTGAAGATGGCCCGACTCTCCATTTTCTTTGTCATTCTTTGATTACACCTGAGCTCTTGAAGAATTTACACAATAGACATATGAGCACCTGCTGTATCATAAAAGTGATTGCGAGCAACCGGCATTTCTTTACCGGTTGTCTGATAAACAATCTCACTTCTAATAACCGATCGACTTGCCATGCTTCCATTCACATTGAAAATCGAGCTTGGAACGTTTCACTTAACAATGAACTCGACGTCAGTTATCGGATAAATACAGTTCACTATGTGAAGTCAAACTCCGTAAATTTACTCATGGATTCGGCTGCTCTCTCAAGGCAATGCTGGACACCTCTAGCAACTCAGATGTCAAATTTTAAATTCCTCTCCAAAATCTCCCTCAAGAAGATGCAACGAGATGAATCCCGTGAAATCGGGCGCAATATTCGACTTGACATTCCATCCAGGCACCTTAAAAATGGTGAATATTTTAGTGTGCCTGTTCGAGTAAAGGAGCATACAAACATTGCAGACTTCACTCTAAGGTGGGTTTGTTCGCTTAATTTTTCAATTTCTTTATAACGTAAAAATTTTTATTAATGGTATTTTGATTGTATTTAGATGTGAAATTCCATTGAACACATATGTTGAGTTCATTAGAGTGGTTTGGCCTTGGGAAATCGACGAATCTTCGAGTTTTGGTCGTGATGGAAATGTTCGGCTTCTTCAATTGAATAATGGATTTAGTGCTTGGGACATCTCCCAGCGCCACATTCCAAGTCTAAAAGGAAATGTCACAGAAGTAGTTGCCAAATATCGCGAAACTGCAATCGATCCTTTTCCCAGCGATCATTTTAGGTTCGTAAATAGCATTTCTTTTAAACGTAAAACTTATGCACAAAATAAAGAACTGTTTGGTACAATTATTTCATTTTAAATCTATATTTAATTGTTCGGGATATTGGAATTGCTGAAGTTTGAATATAAATTCCCAACTATTATGTAGCTCACCTTTTTTAAATTTTATTTACACAGTTATCTAAAACAAGTAACCTGAGCTGGCTTAGTTATCAGCTAAAAAGTCGAAAGTGTCTTTAACGTGGTTCATAAGAGTGGCTACTTGACATTTGTATTCACATTTCTTCGCATTAGCCTGAATGTCATTTCTTCCATTTGGCGCAAATATTACCTAACCTCCTTTCGAATACTCCCTCTGCTATTGGATTAAAGCCTCATCCCCTCAGTCATGTTACCTCTTACATTTTCATTATGCATCCTTATTATTCGCATTTTTGTCTGATGAAACTAATCATCGATATGAAGCAGTAATAAGTGAAATCGATTTTAAAATAAAATAACAATTACTTCAATATCCAGTTGATTTTGAAACAACGCTCAATGCATTTCTGATATATTTTCGAAAATAAAATTAGCATCAGCGTTTAAATCACGTGAAAAATTATTTTTTACAGATTCGGGGGAACTCATGATAGTGTGATAAGTAATGAAGCTTCTAAGTAATCTTAGCTTACTCGCGAATTTTATCCAATTCAAGTGAAATCTCAATCTTGTAATAAAAGTTAATTGGATTTATTAAAATTCCAAATTTATTTCCAATTGCGTTATTTGCTTTAAGAGAACTTTCTTATCTACTGGGCGTTTTAAATTCCAAGCTTTTAACAAACCCTCAAAATTTGTAATGTTTCCCATACCAATCAGCGAAGGCACTTTGTTCTAATAAAATTTGCAGACATAGTCAAGGCATTTATTCGTAAATTGCATTATGTTTTCTCTAAGTGTTCAATGGCAAAATTTTTCCATAACACACTGTGATGAGTTAAATTTTATTTTCAACTACTATTGTGCTTCGACTTTCGTTTAATTGCTGTAAAAATGCCCTTATCATTTTCAAGTAATATGAAAGTCACTGTCAATATGACGACTAAAATCACTAAATATGATTTTCGTTTTTCTCTCTGGGGTAATTTTTGGATATTTGCTTAATTTTAAGAATACAATAGTCCAAAGGAGGAATAAATACTTGATAATTGCATGAAAATCCGGAATCATGTTTACTATTTTAATATGAGAAAATGTTGAAATTTATTAGCAAATTACCTTTTGTCCTCCTTCAAGACTTTATAACTACTATCCAAAACTAGAGCTCATGCTCTATAAGTGAATACATCCATTTCATTAGTACAATGTTCTCGAATGATGTGTCATCTGTCATGGTAATATTGAATTTTCAAACGATGGTCATTTAAGTAAAAGCAATTGGGACTAACTGGTACAATTCTACTCTTTTATTCGTAATATGAATAATGTATTATAATCATGCAAATAGCCATTCAAATAAGTCCATCGACTAATCAGTTCTAAACACTGCGGAGATATATACACCTAAGTCTTTAGTGACCCAAATCTTAATTTAGTAATCAAATGACATAAGATTAATTAAAATATGCTTTTTATTCTTATTTTAATTCGATCTTCTATTTGCCGTTTAATACTCATGCTTGATCTTTCCTTTTACATCCGCCTCAGTAGCAAATACGAGCCAAAATCGATATTCATTCTACTTGAAATATGTACTTTTTTATCACTGACACTATCATTCACTGCTCTTTTTGACACTGCATGCAGTTATTTCCCCCAAATAATTGAATAAATATATCCTAATATTAGGTGTGTGGTTCGATGTTTCACTCGCCGGCGTTCTTGGAAGGAAAAAACGTGGAAAGTAAACATGATTAGTCACTGTGGTATTCTCTATCTTTCCTTTTCTAGAGCTATTGTGCCTCCTGACCACTGTTACTTGATTATCGAATCCAACAAACGGTTAAAAAATAACTCTACCGAGAAAAATCGTAGACACTTCGGTTTATCGACTAAATTATTGATTATATTTCAATTAAACTTGTCATTTGGCTTTTCTTTGCTTAAATATGCTGAAAAAATCGGACATAGATGTAAATTAATCACTGTCATGTTCATCTATGGAAAATATGCAATTAAACTATTTTGATTAGTAGGAATGGCGTTCAAATAAAGCAAGTATGCCGAATATCCTATTTCAAAATTACAAATCCACCTTGTTTCGAACTATACAGGGATTTTAAATGTCGCGCATAGTAGATCGTGACTTTAA